ATCATAGACTAATAAAACTTTATTTTAATTTTTGTTTTAAGATTTATACTATATCTTTGACTTACAATTTATTTAAAAGCCATCATATGATATATTCTCCTAGTATCAGAAACTTCAAAAAATTAAAAAAAAACATACAACTAACATAAAATGTAGAAAATATGCAGACCCTCCCTAATGTACTGTTAGCACTCAAGGACTTTGTTTCCAGGGTGCTACCTCCGACTATCCAGATAAACAATAATATCATCCATTGTACTTCTTGTCCTTTTCATAAAAGGCAAAGAGATTTCAACTCACTTGCCCTTTGTAGGGGTTTAAGGGCACAGAAATAAATTAGGCATCCGTGTTAAGCCAAAGCTGTCTCCCACCTTCAGGTAGTAGTAACTATGAGGTGTCTCATTTCAAGTGATTGAAACTCAAATTGAAATATTCTCTCTTTTTACAAAATTTTGACCTATATGTAATAGGGAGAAAGATGAACATGCAATGTGTAATATATGCACAACAAGGCATTATGCAGTCACAAAAAGATCACAATTTTGTCATTTGTAGAAAAATGAATTGATCTGGAAATTGTCATATGGAGTAAAGTAAGTCAAACTTAGAAAGGCAAATGTTACATAAAAAAGATGACAGGAAAACCACAATTAGACAAGAGGAAGGGAGGAAAAGGGAAGAAGTGAGTTGAGAGGGTCAATAACGGGGGCAGGAATATAATCAAAATACATTGTATACATTGAAACCAAAAAAAGTATGAAATGGGGGGCAAGTTACGTTCATGTATAAATCTGTCCAAAAAAACCTCTCATTCATCTGTATAACCTATGTACACTAATAAAAAAAATTGTCAAAAAGGAAAAAAATATATAAAAAAATAATGCTGGCAGGACTGTGGGGAAAAAGGACCCCATTACCACAGTTGTTGGGAGTCTAAACTGGTGCAATCACTGTGGAAATCAGTGTGAAGATTCCATACAAAACTAAAACTAGAGGTTCCATTTGACCCAGAGATTTCCCTTCTTGCTATCTTCCCAAAATAATTAAAAGCTTCATACCACAGTGAGACATGCACACTCTAATTTATAGTGTGGCACAGTTTGTAATAAATAAATCTTGGAAATAGCCCAAATGCCCATTAATTAATGAATGGATAGATAAGATGTGGCTTTTAAGTAAAATGGAGTAGTACTCAGCTAGAAAGAAGCATAAACTAGAGACATTTCTAGGTAAATGAATGTATCACAAAACATACTCAAGTGAAATAAATCAGAAAAACATACAGTAATATCACAGTCTTTCTGGTGTGGGGAACCAAAATATAAATAAGGACCAAAATGTATTATAGATATTGTGAAATAGAAAGAAAAAGTTCAAATGGGAAGGAGAACTAAGGGAGGAAGGAATGAGAAAGAAAAAAGGGAAAAGAAAAAAAGGAAAAATGGAAACAAAGCTTTTGTAAATAAGGAGGGAAAGAGTTGAAGGCAGGGGAGGGGAATGGGAAAAATGAATCAAGATATATCATGGATAGATACAAATGCTCTACGATGAATGTGATCACTATATCTAAATTGTATCAATAAATTAATTAAAATACAAAGACAGAAGTTAATCTTGGGGCATTCTGTTGATTAAATTCTAGTGGAATGAGGATGAAAGCAAGAAGGAACAGCTAGAATGACAGTAAGAAAATCAGGAAAATATCACACTCTAGAACACAAAGTGAAGTGAAAATGTAGATATGTCAAACAGAATGTTGCCTGAGAAGTGACCACTATCAAGGAGGCTTTAAGCTAATGTGGCAAAAAATTTTGATTTAACTTTTAAATGTATGAGCAATGAATGTCTGGCACATTTGTTGAGGTAAAGAATAAATGTGAATTACTAATAATACATTATGGCCTCATTGATTTGGCTTTAACTCAACCAGAATTTTTAAAAAAGGTGTACATTTCCTAAAAATTAGGAGTACAGTAAAAAGTTTCTTTATTGTGAAATACATGTTTATAAAAAAGTGACATTAACCATAATTTGCCATACCATTAAAGAACTGAATATTTTGCCTAGCTTCTATCATATGGACTTTGTATTTTGGTTAATGAAGGAAACACAACTGTCTCTAACCTGCCATACTATCTATATTTTTTTAAAATAAAAACTATTTACCCTGTATATTAATGAAATTATTTTTATAACTTAAGAACTATCGAAAACACTTCTTATATGTAAAAAGAGTAAAATTAGTGGAAGAACCTACTATAATTATTCAAAGAAGTAACAAGTAGTGACAATCCATCTTAATTGTCTTAATCGATTTGATGAAGAGACTACTGGTTAGGTGACTGGGTGTGCTTACTTATGAGAAGACTAATATACTGTTCATAGTTGATTATGGTTTTAGGAGGTGATGTCCAGCTGGAGGAGATCAATCACTGATGGTGAGCCTCTAGAGGTTATATCTCGTTAGTAATCTTTCCTTGTAGATAAATCTGGCTGCCATAAAGTGACCGTCTTTGTTTTTCCTTCTGCCATGATGTTTCTACCTTGGAACTAAACAACCAGGGACTGAAACCTCTGACACTGTTAGCCAGACAACCTATTTCCTAGTTTAAGTTGTGTATGTATGTCAGCTATTTTGTGCCAGCAGTTGGAAAGCTAATGCACAAGGGAATTACACTCAGCTCTTGGTGAAAGGACAAAAAAAGGAAAAAAGTAGGAAAAGAATATAACATATACCTTAGCAAGAACACTTATTACAGAGTAAATTTTCAAGGCACTAGAATAAAGAAGAAATTACATATCTTTTAAACAAGTGAAAAGATTGTGAAAGAGTTTTGAAATCTAAATTAGGTCAGACGGTGTTTAGTTTAATTGTTTGGAGCTCCTTAAGGATGTTGTAAAAACACTCATAGGCTCCAATCTGGCATAGCCTTTTGGAGAAATACTTCAATTTATTAAAAATAAATCTAACTTTTCCATTAAAGTTTTCCTTAGTGCTTATCAGAAAATTATTTCATAAGGAACTGTTGGCAGTTGCACAATTTACTACCATAGAAATGATTATACTTTTACCCTGAAGGACAGGTAAATTACAACACAACAAATATTGGAATAATACATGATTCATGAAATTCTCAGCAGTCCTTATTACACATAACACTGACACTCTTTATTCTACACTAATACAGTTAGTGGATCTAAGGGTGCAGGAGAAGGGGGAGGAAGGGAAGTGAAAAGGGTTAAGATATAAGATATATATGTGCAAATTCCCCATGATAAATATATTTACTATATATTATAAACATATACTAATAAAAAAGTAAAGAAATAAAGCAACTCAAATAATATTCTATGTCTAAATTTGAAAAATAAACCAGGGGATGAATGAATAAAAATTCTTACCACTTGGCAATACCATGACTGGTTCTGTAAACCTTTGTTCATCTGATAATGGTAGGTTTAGGGAAATGATCAACACCATTCCCAGACTAGTTCCAACAAATAGACAAGGGGAGATGGTAGAGTCATTTTTCCGTGCAAAGGATTCCATAAAGTATAATGCTGTAATTGCTTCTTTTGAATCCTTGTCAATACTGGAGATACTGGAGCTTCTAGAACGATTATAGGAATTCTCTCTGTTTTCTATGGAAAATAAGAAGATAAAAATTAAGTATTAGAGTATTTCCAAAATGAGCAAAGTCAGGTTAAAATATGAAGACCAAAATTATAAACAGAGTGCTCACTTCGGCAACACATATACTAAAATTGGAACGATGCACAGAAGATTAGCATGGCCCCTGCACAAAATTATGAACAGAAAGTAGCATTCATCCTTCATTTATTGATTTGGAAGGAGGTTTCTTTAGTTCATCAACTTAAAAAATATCTTCTAGAAGTCTAGAAGTCTGAATCTAAATTATGGGCAGAAAGAAATCTAGGCCCTGAGTCTCTGCAGGGACTGTGTGTCTTGGTGTACTCTGAGGAGAAAGTGTGGCAAGATTGAGGAAAAGATAGATAAGAGCTGGGTTCAGGTGGAGGCCTTTGCCTGATGGATAAAGGACCCTCCCAACAACAATGGTGGCATTTACTCATACTCCTGAAAAGTTAGTATTAAGAAACACAAGGTTGCCTAGTGACAAATGGTCAGAATTGTTTGGGTAAGATGTTTTTCTTAAAACTGAGTTTGATTGCTTTAGGCACTGAGGCCTTGTCCTGCCCTCCCACATAGGATCAATTTCCAGCTTTAGCCCCTCCAACAAGTGTCCTAAGTTTCAGTTTATCATTTTTTTTTCTCTACATTACCTCAGAGACTAGTTAAAATTCTTTAACCTGGAAAATATATCCAATCTAAATAGTCAAAGTCATAAAAATTTCTGATAAGCTGTACTTATTTCTTTTAACCGTCAAAAATATTCTTAATGATTTCTTGACATTTTTCCACTTAGTGACACAATTGTGGCTACTGATGTGATAGAAGTAGTCTAGATCATAAATATTCTGTGATAAGCACATTATATATCTGGGGGTAATTAAGACTATAAAAATTAAAGTTTATACCAAGACCAAAATGCAAATATTGTCTCTCTGAACTGGTATCAAACTGCCCACCTTGAATTCAAATTTTTTTTGTTTTTTTTTGGTGAATTACATTTTTTTTTATTGGCCTCCTCCTGAATTACATTTTTTCCAAACAAAAAAAATCTCTCCTTATCCTATTGGGAATATAGGATATCTATATCTTATTTTATATAGGATATATAAAATATAAAAAAGGATATATTTTTTAAGAATAGGATATATTTTATATCCTAAAATCATAAAAAGTATATATTTTAATCCTATCTCCTATTGAACTGTCACAGACTCTGTCTTGTTTTATATATAGATATATAGATAGATAGATAGATAGATAGATAGATAGATAGATATATTTTATTTAGTACCGGGTCTACAGGATCTCATTACACAGATCAGACTCATAATGATCCTCCTGTTTTCAGCCTCCCAAGCACTGGTATTACAGGTGCGCACCACCACGCCCAGTCTCAGTCACCGTCTCAGGGTGGCCTGGGGGCAGGAGATCAAACCCCAGTCCCTACATCTGCCTAAGCAGGCACTTTAATCTGCTGAGCTATCTGGTTGGCCCTTGTTTTGTTCAATATTAATTACAATAGCCATTTTATTTTCTTGCATGACATATTCACCCAGCCCCTTATATTTAGGTGATTTTTTTTTTTTTTTTTTTTTAAGACAGGGTCCTGTTATATAGTCCAGGCTGGACTTGAACTTGCAGCAACCCTCTTGCCTCAGCCTCCCCAGTGCCATGGAGGGTACTCCATGCCCACGCAGTTTTCAGTGTTTTTTTTTTTTTCAGATCTTTTTTTTTTTTTCAAACCGAATTGGTAGAACAGTTTCAATAATTAATACATTGCATACATTCTTCCTAGTGGTTAATTGCTGTACAAGATGCAGAAATGATATCCTATTTACAAACACCATTAGAACAAATCCCTCTATTCATTAAGAGAATGTAACTATATATCTATCCTAACCACTTTGAATACACAGATACAAAATGGACATTCATCTGTATTCCCTTTTTTTGTTAAGTTCCATTATTTGAATATTATAGGTGTGTAAACTGGAATTCAAATCTTTTTCCAACTTTATTTTTGACTAAATAAAAAGCTGCAGACTATGCCATCCTATGGATGGTAGCAATTTTTTTGACGATGCTTCAGCCCACTTTAAGTAAACAGAATGGTTTCATAATCTCTTGATTATCAACACTGGTACAGGCATACTCAACCATAACTTCACTAATCTCAGTAAAGTTTTAGTGAAACTGTACTAGTCTCTTAATTGCTCCAGGATACAAGTTCCTTATATTTTTCTTTTTAGTACCTTACTTTCCCCTTCTCTTCAAATAGGTACAAAGATGTCTCATAACTATATACAAAGAGATATAAGTCCTCAGAATTTTTTTCCAGGAAATAAAATAAGGAAAAAGAAGGATTCTTTTTCCTTTTTATCCCTCAGCAAATTCTGGAGTCATGCTGGCAGCCCAAGCAAGCTCTCAGTATTCATTGCCTTTAAATGATACTTCCATAGCTTGTCTCCCACCATCTGTTAGCATAGTAAATTGAATTTTAACTGTACTTACTAAACTTTGTATGTTTAACCTACCTTCTGCTGTAACTGGTAAAGAAATCTCCATGCAAGCAGCTGACTGTGCCTTACGAAATGGTGGTCTTCCAGGAGCCCAGCGATTTACTTTTGAAACATCAGCACTAGAAAGACGTTTTCCAGAACTGCAACTTTGAGAAGTTGGACTTGTGCAGTGTCCATTTACATGATCTGTACCAAGAGGGGGAAGGCAGCATAAATATTACAAATCTTCACTTAAGGAAATTCATTAATCTGTGAAGTAGAAGCATAAAAAATCCCTTTTTTCTAAATCACATGAATATGGGCAAATCCTTGCTATTTTAAGAAATAGTCACAGCTGTAGGTTTATCCAAATTTTAAAAAAATGTTTATTAAGTTAAATACACTTTTCTTATGACTAATATAATTTGAAATTTACTCTATATCTGTAAATATATTATATAATTCAACTGCAATATGAAATAAGTTTAGTTTTGGGACAGTTTGTTGCATAACTTAAATATAGACTTTAAGTTTTGGAAACACTTTTAGTGGTTGAAATTTAAAATATAGAATAGCAGCATCTTAATACAAGTTAAGGATAGGAATTAAGAACATTGGCTCTGAGCCAAATTGACTGGGCCAATTCTGCCACTTACCAGTTACACAAATTACTGAAGGCCACACATTTTAGTTTCCCTTTTCATAAATTATTACCTACATTATGAGTTTTGTGATTTGTGTCTGTGGGGTATATGAGATATTACATGCCACATACTAGAATACATGATGATATATAGTAAACATTGAATTTAATTTTATTAGCACTGTTATTCTAAAGCACAAAAGTGCTCCTGAAAATAAAAATACTGCTCATTTAGGGCTTGTGGGTGGACCTTTGTTTGGATACATCACTAAAAACTTGGGTTCAATGGTCAAGTGCTTGCTTAGTATTAGACCTGGTTCTTACTAAAATTGTGTCTTATTCCTCTTTTTATTTTTCTTATAAGCTAACAAATTGCATTTGAAACATTACCTCAGTTCCACAATACACAGAATGCCTTTTGAAATGTGCTCTTGTCATTTAAGGACAGCAGAGTCATATGGGGGAAGAGTGCATAACGGTCATGCTGAACACATAGAACAGGCAAGCAGTCTATACTCCATGACAGCTTTTATGTTTTGAAAAGTTTGAAAGGCTAAAATTACACTTGTCCCATATTCTCTTGCAGCTAGTGAAGGGTGAGAATTAGTTCTTATCATTTTTTCTTCTTAATCTTTACTTATTTAGTACAGAGTCTCTTTACACAGCTTGGACTCATAGTGTTCATCCAGTCTCAGCCTCCCCAGCGCTGGCATTACAGGCTGTCACCATGCCCAGGTTCAGTGGCTGGTGTGGGGTCCTGGGGATCGAACCTGAGTCCTTGAGCTCACTAGGCAGGTGTTCAGACTGGTGAGCTTTCTCTCCAGCTCCTTATTATTTTACATATACTGGTGTGTTCTACTATTTTTTAAAATGAGAGTTGATATTTATTAAATATTTAAGTGATGGTTATTTTACTTCTTTAAATCTTAACATTCCTGAAATATATGTGCTTTTATTATTTTCCTGATATTGCAGATGAGGAAACTGAATTTTAGACAAAAAGGTTCAGAAAATTTTCTTCTGTCACCTAGTGGTAGGTAGGCAGGATTCTGCTTCTCTCAGGGTTTGTATGATTAAACACTGGGAAACAGGGTCAGCTAAAGTATTTGGGAACAGGTAGCAATTCTGAAGACATACTGAGTAGTAGGGTTTAGGAGGGTGATGTAATCCATACCAGGATCCAAGTCTTTTGGAACTAATCATCTTCCTTTTTTTTTTTTTTTTTTTGGCAGAATTGGGGATTGAACTCAGGCACTTGCACTTGCCAGGCAAGCGCTTATTCTACAGAGCTATCTCCCCAACCCCTCATTTTCCATTTTGATATAGATCTGAGCCCAGATGGAAAGGCAGAAATAGCTCAGGATGAGTTATCACGGGCAAGTTAAGCCAAGACTATCCCTCCTTCACTGTCACACCAAGGGCAACAGCTGGTACCATCAGTTTCAAGGGTACAAATTACAATACAACCCAAACTGGACTCATAAGTCAGGAAAAAAAAGAAAAGAAAAAACCCCGCCCTTTCCAAAGACATGGTATGTTTAAGAGCTTAGAACTTATTTATAGGAATGTGGGAATAGAATGTATAAATCTCAGCTAGATTCAAAAGTGAGTAGCAAAGCCCTGAGAACAATGAAATTTGCCAGTTATCCAAAAATCTTGGCTTTCTTAAGCTAAAGCTCCAGTATTCCTCTTTAGCAGTTACCATTTTGGTTGCTGTTTCATGTGCATATACTTTATTTCCATTTATAGCAGAGTAGTATCAGCTAACAGATTATTCAACATGCTTTCTTTTCCTTTTTGTGCATTTGCAATATATAATGAATACATACATCATAAACAGTTAACATATATGTATATTGCATCTTAATCCTTTGTACAGCCCATTTTCCTTTCTCCCCTCCTATCTTTCTATCCCAAGGTTCCCTTCCCATCTTCAAAAGCTCTATCTTCCTGTTTCCTATCATCTGTCTTGCTTTTGTTTTTCTCCCCTGTTGTGACAGACAAATTTCCTCTAGCTTTTCACATCTGATTCATGAGGTCTTTTTGACATTATTACATATAGGCACTCCAGAATTTGGACCATATTCTTTTGGTTTCAATAGGGTTTATATAATTAAAGGCTAATTTCACAAGTGAATTTTTAAAAATTTAAGGGGAATTTCTTTGTTAATGGTTTTCTTTACCATGATGAATATTACATACATTATATATATATTCATATTCATTTATACATGAATTGACATAAAACACTTAGAAATTTAATCGAGCTCAGACATTCTGGAAATTTATGACAAAGAAACATGCTAAATATCAAATAAAAATAAAAACTATTTAACAAAGCTATTCACTGTAATATTATTATAGGAAACAGCTGTAGTTTACCTAAAATTTTAGGTGAATTGCAGTATGTATCATAATAGAGTACTATAATTTTTAAAAACAATTTTAAAGTGTTCGTAGGAACTCATAAAACATCTATAATATTTGTTGCACTAAAAAACACTCCAAAAGCTGCTATAAAATGAAAGTAATTTTATTATATTCAAGGATTCTGTTGAGTGGGACTTCGACTAAGGCAAGACGGGCTGTCTAATCTCCATGACGTCCAGAGTGCTCTTCGAGATACTTGAAATGGCCAACTCTTGAAATCCTTTGGAGGTTTCCTTACTCACCTGGATTACAGTGATGCAGACTGAGTCTCTTAGGATTGTTGATGGTGACAGCTTCAGGAAGCATGAGTTTCAGGGTCTTAGGCATAGTCTTAGTATCCTTAGCGTTTTTGCATGGTGGCTCAGCTTCAGAGAGTCTGGTAAATGATTTTGGAAGTAGAATGGAAGCTATTTGTCTACTTCTTTGCTGATATTTTAGTAGAGACTATATGTGCTTTTAAAAGCCACATTTCAGAATCCAGCCACAGATTTTTGTGTGCCAAGAGGTGGTGTGATAGAATCCTGACCTTACTTATGTTAAGTTCAGCAGCTTATTGGCAGTGGTCATCTTGTTGTATTTCTAACTATAGCAAAGGAAGCTGCTCACCTGGTGTGTCTTTTATTGGTCTTACCAAGAAAGTTATAAATAGTTATGCTTAAAGTCTACTTCTTTAACTTTTCAATGATTTGATGAGCATCTAGACTGTCATATTATTCATTTTCTTGTAAACACAGCTAGAATGTTTTATGTTTCTTATATTGTATTAGTGGTTTAACCTATCTGTTGAACTTTGTATCATATAGAAAAAAATGTACCATTTAAAAAAATTCAACCTTGGGCAAATGAGATAGCTCAGTGGGCTATGTGCCTGCTTAGCAAGCTCAAGGACTGGGGTTCAATCCCGGCACCACATGCTATGCTGGTGGCACACATCTATAATCCCAGTGCTGGGGAGGTTGAAAATGGGAGGATCACTAAGAGTCTGATCTGCGTAGTGAGACCCTATACCAGGTACATAAAAAAATTTAAAAGTAAAACTAAAAAATTCAACCTTAACACAATCTGCAGTGAAAGGGAAATGATCATTCTTTATTTTATAGGAAGACTCCCATTTGAAAACTTATACATTTAAAAAAAATGCTCATTCCCTAGTGCCTTTAAGACATGATATACTATATTATTTGTAGAAACTAATAATTGCATAGTGATGATTTACTAAAAATGTGTTTTGTATCCAATTGAATTTTATTTTTAACACAGTCATTTGACAGCTTTATCAAAGAATGTAAATGAAGATGTGGTTTAATACTTGGTAGACTAGTCTTGTTAAGCAAGCCTTTTAATATACTACACAATTCTAAGAATATTAAATTACTATTATGGCTAAATTACAGAGAGCGATTGTATTACAAAATAAGTATCAAACATAACATGAACACTTGACATTAAATGTTATCAAGTAGTTAAAATACAAAAATCTTTAATACATAATCATAATAAAATATGGCTGATACATCAAATGGTAATTAAAATATTTGAAAACCCATGTTACTCTATCTTTGCTTATTTTCACAGTCAACTCTTTCTTTTATCATTATTTTTGTAACTCTGACTAGCACACAGTCTGTCAACTGACTACATGTTAGTTGTTTACCTGATTGATTTGTTTAAACAGGAAAACAATTTAAAGAATATTCACAACTTAAAACACTCAGGGGAACCTTTGAGATATATTTAGAAGCTTTGTGGTCCTAAATAATGCTGAAATTTTATAATAATAATAATACAGTTTATATCTGATTTGCTTAGTTTCTTTCACTCACCATAAGTTAGGGATTCCTCTATATTGTATGTCAAGTAATCACTTCTTTTTATTGCTGAGGAATATTGTACTGTTGCATATGCTGCAATTTGTTCACTCACCTTTTGATGGTTATTTGGAATTTTATCAGTCATTAATCATTTTTAAAGAGATTTTAAAATGAAGTAAATATTTTCTAGTGTTTTTCATTCTTCTGTGTAGGTCAGACTTTCATAAATATTATTTTCCTTGTTTTTGAAGGACTTTCTGTAAATATTTTTACAGTTTTTTAAATTTGAACTTGTTGATTTTCTTTATTTTAAAAATTGTTAC